TTCAGCACAAGGTTGGATTCAATGCAACTCTTTAGCACAAGAGTGAGGTGATAGAGGCAAGAGTCAAAAGAGTCGCCATGGATTGTGAAATCATCCATAAAGACCTCCATGAATACCTCCACAAATTCTGAAAAGATGCTCATCATGCACCTTTGAAAGGTGCCCGGTGCGTTGCATAATCCAAAGGGCATTCGTTGGTAGGCAAAAGTGCCAAATGGACATGTGAAGGTTGTTTTCTCTTGGTCCTCCGGGGCTATTGGTATTTGGAAATACCCGGAGTAACCATCGAGAAAACAATAGAACTTGTGCCCTGCTAACCTCTGTAGCATTTGATCAATAAAAGGCAATGGAAAGAAGTCTTTCCTAGTCACCGAATTGAGTCTTCGGTAGTCAATGCAAACTCGCCACCCGTTTTGAATTCGGGTGGGCACCATCTCGCCATCCTTGTTTTCAATGACCGTTACTCCGGTCTTCTTTGGCACCACTTGAGTAGGACTCACCCACTTGCTATCGGAAATGGGGAAAATGATTCCCATTTGAAGCAATTTGATTACCTCCTTTTTCACCACCTCCATCATGGGTGGGTTCAATCTTCGTTGCGGTTGTCTCACCGCTTTGGCCTCATCTTCGAGCAAGATCCTGTGCATGCATGTGGATGGACTAATGCCTTTGATGTCGGCAATAGACCATCCAATGGCCAATTTATATTCCTTCAAGACCGCGATCAATCTTTCTTCTTGTTCTTGGGACAAGGCATTTGAAATAATCACCGGTAGGGTGTGATTTTCACCCAAGAACACATGCTTCATATTTTCAGGGAGTGGTTTTAATTCCACCTCCGGTGCCTGCAAAACAGATGGTAGCGGCTTCTCGCTTTGAATGGTTAGTGGGAGGGCTTTAGAGCCCGGTGGCAAAAGTGGGAGTCGATTTAACTCCGCCACCATAACCTTCATGTTATTTGACATAGAGTATTCCAATGTAAAATCTTCTATGTCGTTTTCTATTGAGCTTAGTACTTCATCCTTTCCCTCAATTTCAAATACATCTTGGACCCAAGTGTCGCAAGTGTCAATCGCAAACAGAGAGTGATTATCAGTGGGGTATTTCATGGAGTCGTAGATATTAAATTCGACTTTTTCACCATCGAACTCCATGGTTAACACTCCACTAAAAACGTCAATTTTTGCCTTAGCCATTTTCAAAAAGGGTCGGCCTAGTAAAATTGGAACTGCATTTTTATCGTTCTCCATTTAAAGAACGTAAAAATCAGCGGGAAAGATTAAATTATCCACCATGACGAGAACATCCTCTACCACACCTTTTGGGTAGGCATTGGATCTATCGGCAAGTTGGATAACGACCCCCATCTCATGTAAAGGTCCTAGTTCTAGGGACTTATATAGAGAATATGGGATGACATTGATTGATGCACCCAAATCTAACATAGCCCTAGAAGAACTAGAATTTCCAAGTTTACATGGTATAGTGAACATTCCCGGATCACTATACTTTTTAGGCAGTTTCTTTTGAAAAACGGCCGACACTCTTTCACTTACTTGGATTTTATGCTTGCCATTCAACTTGTGCTTCCTTTTAATTGTGCAAAGTTCTTTTAAAAACTTTGCAAACCTAGGAACACCTTTTATTAAATTGAGAAGAGGGATGTTTACCTCACATTTGCTGAAGGTCTCATAGATGTCTTTGTCATTGTTGTATTTCCGGTTATCCTTGAGAGCCTCCGGAAAAGGTGGCACCGGCTCATATGAGTTGAGCGGTGGGAACTTTCTTTGAGGTGTGATCTCCTCTTCTTTTTCCTCTTCATTTTGAGGGTATGTGCTTGGCATCAAGATCTCCTCCTCCTCTTCTCCCACATGGCTCTTTGCTTTTGCCTTAGCCATAACCAATTCTTTGCCACTTCTCAAAGTGACCGCATGAGCTTGTTGCCTCGGGTTCGGCTCCGTTTGAGATGGGAGTTTTGCCGAATCCCTAGCTTCTAGCCTACTCACGGCGTTTGAGATTTGGCTCATTTGGCTTTCCAAATTGTGGATGCTAGACTTTGTGGTTTCTTGAAATTGGGCCACACTTTGTTGCATCGTAGTCATATTCATGGCTAATGCTCGAATCATGTCTTCAGTGGACATGCTTGAGTTCGATGTTTGGCCTTGTTGTTTAAATTGTTGAGGAGGGGGAGGGTTTGTTTGTTGAGGGGGTTGAGGGTTTCCGTACCTTAGATTTGGATGATCCCTCCATCATGGATTGTAGGTGTTTCCGTGAGGATCGTACCTCCTTTGGCCTTGGAACCCCAAAGCATTGACTTGCTCGGAGTTCTCCTCTTGTAAAGTTGGGCAAGAATCTGTGGGATGCCCTTGTGTTGAACAGATGCCGCAGACCTTGACTTCTTGGGTTTTCGGATTCAAAAGGAAATCTTTAACCAAAGAAGTCAAGCCGGCTACTTGACTCTCCAACGAGTTGTTGGATTCCGCTGCCATAACTCTCTTTGTTGACCGCCGATCATAGTGTCTACAATTTTCGGCCAACTCTGAGATAAGATTCCTATCTTGAGAAGGAGTTTTGTTGACTATTCCTCCTCCGCATGCAGCATTGATCATCCGTCTATCATCATCGCAAAGACCATCATAAAAGTAAAGGATGAGGTCTTGCTCCGAGTAGCCGTGATACGGACAGCTCGCACAGAGTTTCTTGAATCGTTCCCAGAATTCATAGAACGATTCATCATCTTTTTGCTCCACATTGCTGATTTGTTTCTTTAAAGATGAGGAGATGGAGGCGGGATAATACCTTTCGAGGAAGCTCTTCTTCATGGCCACCCAAGTGTCTATGCTTCCCGAGGGAAGATAGAATAGCCAATCTTTGGCGGTGTCTTTGGGGGAGAACGGGAAAGCCCTCAACTTAATTTGTTCCTCGGTAACACCGTTTGGGCACATGCTTGTGCAAACGATGTGGAACTCCGAAAGATGTTTATTCGGATCCTCTCCTCTTAGCCCGTGGAAAGATGGAAGTAGATGTATGAGTCCTGATTTCAACTCAAATGTAGCACCCGCATCAAGAGTTGGGAAGGTGATACATAAGGGTTGTTGATTTAGATTGGGGGCTGTGAGCTCCCTCAGCGTTCTTGTTTCAAGAGCCATTGATATTGACTCCTCGGACTCGCTAGATTGAGAACTAGCACTTGAGGATTCCCCCGAGTCGGTATTTGAGAATTTATTTTTTAACCGCTCGAGAGCTTTTTCTATTTCGGGGTTTGTTTGGTAGGTGAGTTGGTTTATGGATCGGGTTTTTACCATATACTCAAACAAAGCTCAGCAAAAATAGAAAACTTTATATATATATATATATATTTTGATTTTTCTTGAAATAAAATAAAAAGAAAATTAATTGCCCTTCCCCGGCAACGGCGCCAAATTTAACGAGCACTTTGTCACGGTGCGTCAAAATAAATTCAATACTAAACACTTATACGTAGTATAGCGTAGTAGAGTTCGTATCCACAGGGAAAGGAATGATTTTCTTTTTATGAAACTAGTAATTAAAAAGGGGGGTTTTGGTTTTGAGTGATTTAATTCAATTAAGAAACTAAGATGAACAACCTATATGTGTTTAATTCATGAATAAAAGGGACTTGGCTTTGCTACTTTCCACTTGTTGATATATTTTAGTCGATCCTTGTTACATCTATAACTTATCCCCTCTCGAATACTCAATCGAGGAGTATCTCCAATTCATCGAGGGTAGTTATTAACAACGACCGTTCATTAATAACCCTTACTATTAATCAAATATAGAACAACGCCTTATACCGATATAATAGTAGCATTCAATCTTTTTAACTCCTTGATGAAATCAATTGAGATTGATAACCTTAACACAACGGTTTCGGTTTAACCAACAAAATTGATCCCTCTTAAGTCTATTAACCACGACCGTGCATTAATAAACCGAAGTTACTTACTTGTGAAACCACCAACGATTAACCATCGGTTCGTTGATCGTTTCTAGTAGTAATTAATGTCGGAACGTTAACTAATCGTCACTTAGCAACCCTCCAACATTAATATAGAATGAGATTAAGGGAAGAATTAATAATCAAGAGGAGAAGTTAAGAAAATAACTCACAACTTTAATAATCAACAAGCTTCAAGAGCAAAACCAAGAATGAAAGTTTAGCTCCTCATTTGGAGGCTAAACATAGCTAGAAAAATATAAAGAAATGCTATTCTAAACTGAGCTAAAGAGAATGGAAGAAGGGATGATGAAATATGAAGGAAAATGGGGCTATTTATAGGTGTTTTCAACACCTAATGCCGGATACCCGGGCGGGTATTTTGACATACCCGACCGGATATTTACCTAATCAAATATTTTCCCATGTTTTTGTGTCTTCTGCCCGTCCTTTGGTCTGAAATCACAGAATACCCGATCGGGTATATGGAATACCCGACCGGGTATTTGCTAGTTTGCAGCAGTTTCCTTTGTCACTTCATACCCGGTCGGGTAAAATCCATACCCGGCCGGGTTTTGCACAAAACTCAGGTTTCTTCATCCTTTTTGCTTCCAAACCTATCCTAAACTTAAAACCAAACTAACTACAACTTACAACAAACAATAAAATGCTAGAAATATGATTACAATCAAATGCAAACTCACAACTATAAACTTGCACAAAACTAGTAAATAAACACTACAAACAATAATAAAAATGTATACTTAGGCACTAACAACTAGTGCCTATCAAACACCCCCGCACTTGAACTTTTACTCGTCTCGAGTAAAACAAATCATGTCCATGAAATTTCCAAACCAACAATTGTAGCAATTACAACCATTCACGAGTGTTTTTGAATAATACTCCTGCATCACACGTACACATTTCAACCTTATCCCCAACAATCAATCCCAACAATACTCCACCCACTCCTCCCAATCCCAATCCAACCAATCTCCTCCATCTATCCAACTAGCCATTTCCCTGTACCACCGAACCAACTTCCACCTCAACCCATGTATCCCCCACTCAACCAACTCGCCCCACCACTACTTCTAATCCAACACCTACTCCTCATATTAATCCTCCACGACCATCTCGCACACGACTTCCAAATCGTAAATATATTGGAGGACCTTTCCTTAATCATACAACTCAGCACCCAATACCTCTCACCTTAGAACCCACCAGTGTGAAACAGGCCTTATCTGATCCAAGATGGGTCGCCTCCATGGAAGACGAAATGCAGGCTCTTCAACGCAATTGTACCTGGAGCTTGGTTCCACCGACCACTCAACAGCCTATCACCTGCAAATGGCTATTTCGTATCAAACGTAATGCAGATGGTAGCATTGCCAGATACAACGCTCGCTTAGTGGCTCGTGGTTTTTTACAACAACCTGACCGGGACTATTCTGAGACGTTTAGCCCGGTCACCAAACCTGCTACTATTCGTATCATTCTATCTATTGCCTTGTCCCGGAATTGGCCTCTTCGACAACTTGATGTCAATAATGCATTCTTGCATGGTCAATTGACTGAGGAAGTATACATGGTGCAGCCTCCTGGATTCCGCGATTCTAAATTCCCATCACATGTGTGTAAGCTACACAAGGCGTTATATGGGCTCAAACAAGCTCCTCGGGCTTGGTATTTGGAACTTTCACGATTTCTCATTTCAGTGGGTTTTAGCAAATCTAAAGCAGATAATTCTCTTTTTATTTATTCTGCCCAAGGTGTTCTCATCTATTTTTTAGTCTATGTAGATTATATTGTACTCACAGGAAATAGCTCAAGTGCGGTTGAGTCCTTTGTGCTCCAACTTACCAAGCGATTCTCAGTAAAAGACCTTGGCAACTTACATCACTTTCTTGGGGTGGAGGTAATTCCCACTGGCACTGGAATATTTTTGTCCCAAAGACAATATATTCTCCACATTTTGGAGACCTGTCGCATGCAAGAAGCCAAGGAGGCAGTAACCCCTATGAGTTCTAAAGGGCAATTTTTTCTCCAGGATGGTACGACTCCTACTGACCATACTCAGTATAGGCGCACACTTGGGTTATTACAGTATCTTGCATTTACACGACCGGACATATCCTTTGCGGTTAATAAACTCTCCCGGTTCATGCATGCGCCTACTAATACTCATTGGCAGGGTGTCAAACGGGTACTTCGGTATCTCAAAGGCACTTTGGATTATGGCCTCTATCTTCATCGGGACTCGCCATTAAATTTGTGTGCCTTTTCCGATTCTGACTGGGGTGGCATTCACGACGGGGGTCATTCCACTACAGCTTATGTACTCTATCTTGGCAATAATATTATTTCATGGAAGTCAGCTAAACAGAAAACAGTCTCACGATCATGCACAGAGGCCGAATACAAGGCTGTTGCAAATGCTAGTGCAGAAATGCTATGGATACGTAACTTACTTTCTGAGCTCGGGATATCCCTTTCATCTATACCACGTTTGTTTTGTGATAATCAAGGTGCAACTTATGTGTGCGTTAATCCGGTTTTTCACTCTCGGATGAAACATTTGGCCTTGGATTTCTTCTTTGTACGTGAGTTGGTTGAGCGTCGTCAGTTGCAAGTTCAGCATATATCCAATAAATTTCAGATTGTTGATATATTGACCAAACCACTTGGCAAGACACCGTTCCGACATTTTCGATCCAAGCTAGGAGTATCCAATGGATCCTCTATCTTGCGGGGGCGTATTGGAACATAATTTGCATTAATTATTAATTAATGTATATATTAATTAATGTAACATACGTGTAGATAAACTTGGTATCATCCCATGTGCTTTGGTATTATCCCTAGACTAGCGATAGTTGGTTAGTCGGCCTTATCACATTAGCTCCAGGTCCTATATATACACATGTACGTACATATGTAATCACAGATAAATATACTCTCATTAATATATCTCTTTATAGAGGCACCTTGTTTTTAAGTTTCCGATATGTAGTTCCCTCAAATTTGAGCCTTTTATGATACCATTTGTTAGTCTAGTTTCTTCAAGGAGCTCCAAACAAGTTAAATATGATAGGTTTAGTCAAACAAACAAGTAAGATGAAGATACAAGTAGAATACATACATTATAAGAGTTGTACCTTGGAAGTTGGAAGTAAAAGCATTTCAAAATTAAGACTAGTTTTCCCCTGTCGAAAATCATGTCGCTGTTGGAAACAAGTGATAGAAGATTTAAAGTCTGATGGAAACTAAGATACATTACAAACTGCAATATGACCACTATTTATATAAACTACCTCAAGGATTACTTTCCCTCCAGCACCCTGCAAAGATTAAGAAATAGTGAGTGTAATAGACTACATTTACATTTTAGACAAGGACCAGATGGAGAAAAAATACCTGGTAAGATCAAAACAAAAATAATATACTTATTGTGATTACTGTTTGGACTTACAGAAAAGTAGTGCCCCCATTCCTTGTCCAAGTAGTGCCTATCCTTGAAAAACTGATTATAATTTTATTATAAAGACAAAAAATTAACTTCCCTCCATAGCTCATCAGGTCAATGGAAAATTAATAATACATACATGAAAACTTTACTGTACTTTGCTTGTTAGTTAAGTTCATGAAAGTTGAAAACTTTACTGTACTTTCCTAGTTAGCTAAGTTTATTTGAATAATTTGATGACAAGAAAGTCAGTTCTATTGAAATCCATAATATCACTTGTATTATTTATTTTTCACTTGGGGAACCTCTTAGAATTCAATTTTGGAGAAGCCCTAAATGGGGTTGTTGAAAGATGAGTATTCCTTGTAAATCATATTTTAATTTTTCACTAAAATAAACATCCTACCAAATAATCTAATACTCAACGTCAAGATAACAAGTTAACGGTGCAGAATAGTGGAGTTACAGTGGTGGCATCATCTAGAGAATATGCAAGTGTTAAAGATAAATCTCCTATCGATGCAAAGTTGTCTTACTATGTGATCATACAAGAAATATGGGAACTTCACTACACTGATTTTCATGTTCCCATGTTTTAATGGATTTACCTTCTACACTCAACGTCAAGATAACAAGTCAACGGTGCAGAATAGTGGAGTTACAGTGGTGGCATCATCTAGAGAATATGCAAGTGCTAAAGATAAATATCCTATCGATGCAAAGTTGTCTTACTATGTGATCATACAAGAAATATGGGAACTTCACTACACTGATTTTCATGTTCCCATGTTTCAATGTAAGTGGGTTGAAAACAACTGACGTGGTGTGAAGATAGATGATTGCGGGTTCACTCTAGTTGACACTAGTCGTTTCCGTGATAGTGATGAGCCATTCATACTTGCAGCACAAGTTAAACAAGTTTTCTACATAACAGATCATGTTGACAACAGATGGAGTGTTGTTGTTCCAGGGAAGAGACATATTTTAGGCATTTCTGATGTTAGTGATGAGGATGTGTATAATCAACACGAAGACTTCCCACCTTTTTCAGTCCCTAAAGTCTTACTCACAGAAGAAAAAGATATCGACGGGCAATATATGCGTTCAGATAATCAAGAAGGGATTGAAGTTGCAAAGTCTTAGTGTAGTTTAAGGTACAAATTTAGTTTAGATAAATGTTAATTAATGTTTTTTTATATTTTATGTTAATAAATGAATGTGAATTAATGTTTTTTTCATATTTTACTTAACATGCAGGCACTCCACCATGGCTAATGATGATGAGGATTTTGTTTTAGATGAAAAAGACCTTTTAAATGATGAGGATGCAATTGATGATGCTAGATCATGACGCATTTCTAATTATGAAGAGGAGGCTGATTTTAGAGGAGAAATGGAGGATGCGAGATACTCGTTGGATGAGATCCAAGAAGCATTGGTGAAGAAAAAACAAAAAAGGAAGGACGCTGGTAAGAAACCTGGGAGGGGGGCGTTCAAGGGGCTAAAAGTAACTGAACCTATGTTCTTACAATTTGATCCACTTGGTCGTGCGACTGGTCAATGGAGATTGAAATTTGGGCAACATATTGGTTTATGTACGCGCTAATTGAACATCAATTGGAGGTGGTCTGATGTATCTACGGGCTTGAGAGATACTCTTTGGGACGACACTAGGGTAAGTATCTTAGTTAAAATGATTTATAATGTGTGTTTAGTAATAAATCTTGTTGAATAGTATCTGTCTTTCATACATTTTTAAAATGTGAATATTTAATAATTTGCTTTTTATTGTTTCAGAATTTATTCCACCTTGATGATGATCCTAGGATAAAGAACATTGTTTTATCCACGGTGGCATGTCGTTTTAGAGATTTTAAGGCGAAGTTAGTTTCAGGATGGATCACTTGTGTTAGAAAGCGATCAAAGAATGAAGATGGGAAACTTCCGCCCCAAATTTGGCGTCACATTACACCCGAAATTTGGGAAGAGTTTAAGAGACGTAAGACAACTCCAGAGGCTGAGGTAATTGTTAAAAACACTTATGAAGTATGTGTAGATGAAATATAGATTAAACTCTAATTTTTAAATAGGAGACAAGGAAAAAAGCAATAGAGATTGCTTTGCAAAACCAACATCATCATCATATGGGCCAAAGAAATTATGAAGACAATAGGGCTATCTAGATCGACGAAGGCTTCTATCCTACTCCTTGCACGGAATCTTCATGAATTGGGTCAAGTAGTACACAATTCAATAGAGGTGATGATTGGTATTGTGAGATGCATGCTCGTGATAAAGAGGGAAATCGGGTTATTCCAGAAAAGCATACGAAGGAAGTAGCTGATAAATATGTAATTTCTTTGTTATAAATAAGACCCTTATGTAATATATAATTGTAACAGGTTGAGTATAAGAACAAACAGAATATGGGTGAATTTATTCCCATGCGCAATAGAGATGCTTTAATTTGTACTATGCTCGTGGAGAGAAGGTAGACCACGCTGGCCGTGTTGTTGGATATGGTGACACTAATGTTGGCCATACGAAAGCATTTGGCAAAAAGTGAAGTCAATCACAGTGTAGTGGATGTTCTTCACAAAACATCGAGTCCATGAAGGCCTCATGAAGGGAAGAGTTTAAGGAACAGGTGAATGAGACAATGAAGCAAAACGTGATCAACATCTTGAACGAAATGGGTCTTACAAGTTTTAACTTCTCCGGTGGTGCTTCTATACCAACGCCCTCAACATCAATAAATCACGCACAACATCCATTTCCAAATGATGAGTTGATGGTATTTAGTAGTTGTTTTATTTGTGAATTACCTTTTGTGTATATGTTAAGGATATGCGTTTATTTATTGCCTTTGAATGTTCTAAATGTGTTAGTAGGGTCCAAGAGCATGTCATCTGTTTTTGAATGATTTTGGAACCAGCCGATTGTTTGAGGTGGGTGGTGGCACATCATTTCCTTCTGGAACTGGAGTAAGTTGTCATCACATGCCAATAATGGAAGGCCACTTAAAGGTGAGCGTAGACACCATTTTGAATGAGTATGTGGGTGCCACACTTCCAGTACCTGTTCCCACTGTGAATCTTTTTACCATAGGCGATGCCCAATGTAGTTTTGTTCAATGGCCGGTTGATTGGGTCAAATTTGTAAGTGAGGTAATTATAAAAGTATATATATTTTAAAGTATGCGTGTGTGTATAAGTGTATTTACTTATTTATGAGTTTCTTCACATACCCAATGTATTTATGTGATATTTATTTATTAGTTAGAAATGACATGCAGGTCACGAGTAGTAAACCAGCAAAGGGAAAGAAGAAATTGGATATCCGTAAAAAACTGATCAAACGATCTTTAGTGTCTGATGGTGTCTTGTTGGCACTCAGTAAAGATTGCAAGTGGTTGCACTCGATTATAGCATCTCGGAGTAGCGACGATCCCTTTGTAATTACTTTAGATGCTCGCGTGTTCCATTATAAATCAAGTGATGGTGATGTGTATCTTAACAACGAGGACATCTCTCAGTGTTTGTCCGGTGCAATGCTTAATATATCCATTATTCAAGTATTCATCAAGTAAGATATAATAATTGTATTACTTATTATATTACTATGGTGTTCAATTTTCATTATATATTAAATTGATTTTTTTTATAGAGCAATGCATGAGTATGCCGAGGGTTTGAATACAAATGCGCAAATTGGATGGATGTATCATGATGCAATTTGTGCAACTTCATGTGACCATAACTCAGAAGATGTGAGAGAGTACATACACCGAGCCATCATTGAATCTCGCAATTCTGGTGTAGATATTATTCTTGCTCCTTATTACGAGCATGAGTACATACACCGAGCCATATTTTTCAAAAAATAAAAAAAAATATATTTTTTTTTAAAAAAAAAACTCAAAAAAATAAAATAAAATTCACCGCCGCCTCAGCACCACCACCTCCCGTCACCAGGGGAAAAAAATGCCAAGTTCATTACGAATGCCATATTTATGGCAGAAAACAATGACAATGTTGGCATTCGCAAAGAGAAATATGCCATGTTTTTGGCATTTTAAAAAAAAAAGGCAATTTTTAGGGAAAATTGAATTTTTTTTCACCGCTCGGAGGTGGTGGTGGAGGGAGGTAGTACAAGCGGTGGGAAAGGCATCCATATTTTTTTAATTTTTTTTATGGAGTTTTACAATTTTTTTTTATTTTTTTAAAAAAAAATATATTTTTTTTTTATTTTATTAATGTTTTATAAATTTTTTAAATATTTTTCTACGATTTTTTGAATTTTTTTCGAGTTTATTATGAATTAAACATTTAATTAAAAGTTGTTGGGGCTTGGGTAGGGGTATACTTGTCCAAACACTAAAGTTACTCCTATTCAAAACATGGTACTCCTATTTTTGCATTTTGCCTATGTTTTGCTCCTATTTGGGGAATTCTCTCAAATAAAAATCATTATTAAAATGAAGACAAGGCTCCTTATGTTGAATAAGTCAAACAAAAATAATGGAATGCACTAAGAATATT